TCAGTCGCATTTAACTGAAACTTTAACGTGAACTTGAGCGGAAACCACAGAACTAATTAGGGTACCTAGATATTCCCACATAGGTTTCTTGATGCTTGATATCTTTACAGAACTTAGATTCATGGTTTTTCAATTTCAGGAATCTTTGTAATAGACTTGGCTCGTAAAACGTTAGCTATTAGCTTTTTTAATCCCTAATGTTGACTGGTAGAGGTTGCACTGTGGCGTTAAGTTCACTTTATGTAGGTACTATTATTATATAGTATAACAATAATTATACCATTAATCTGGCAAAAACTGGCTTTATTATAGTTGAATACTTAAAACACGCTAGGATACCTGGCTAAAGTAGGCACAACTACGCTGAAATACCACCTCTAACTACATTCGACTTTTGTCGCATCTAGTAGTAAAGTATCTGTGACATTAATTAGGTAGCGACTGTTAATAAATCGTAAAGTTCTCAACTGGTCGGATTGTGGCGCGGATCTTAAATTTATATCCACTTTATACCACTTAACTTAGAACTATTCCAACCAGACTTCATTCATTTTTAACAATTGGTTAAGAATTTTATCTTCCTTTCGTTTTTTATACCTATAATAAAGTCTAGATTTAGACGGTAATACACCAGAACAACTAATTCTAAAGGCAAGACAGGACAAGGTAAGACACGTAATTCAAAATATCAGCAGGCGATTTAATGCCCATATGCTGTCCTATTAAATATATTTAAAAGTACGTCCATGCTCTATGGCATTAAATTATTCATTTGACAATAACTTGATCATTTTTCCATCACGTTATAAAACCTCATCAGCATCACCCACAAAGAGAGGGGATCAATCGTCAATTGTTTATTATTTCGACCCCCCCCTCCCCCCTGACCAATATTTCATCACCGGCGCTCTCAAAGTGAGCTGTTCATGGCCGGCTATAATATAGCCTCGTATACTCATCATAGCTTGCATTATTGAGCACCTCTCTATTGATATTATGATGCTCTCGCGGGCCGCTGCACCTATTTCTATGATAAAATGCAATTTTATAGGAGATGCTTGCTTTGTGATCGAAAATGAAGTATTTTTTGAGTAGATAAAAAGAGTTTTAGGTATCCTTTTTATAGAGTAGGGACCTGTGAAATTATTAACATTAGCTTTCCGTGGAATTTACTTATGACATAAGTTATACACATTGTTATCTGAATTAACAACGCCAAGGAAATTCTCACACGTAACATTATTTCGTCACCCCATCTTGTTAGCAACTCCACTCCACACTGAGAATAAAATTTCCAACAACCAATCTAATCCTACACATGTTTAAGATTCATAATCGAATACCAAGTAAAAGCCTTTATACTACCTAAATTAACGTGAGCACCAATCTAAATTGTAAGTTATTTTTGGGAAAATTTTCATCCAAATAATGTCCCAAGGCGGATGAAGGGGGGGTTGGAACAGAATTCTATTAATGTCATGCCTCCCCGAAGGACCGGATTTCTTCATTTCCTAAACGCCTCTTGGGGTAGAAAACACCCCACTTCGATATTTACCGCGGGTACTACAGACGAGAGATAAAATTGGTTATAAAAAACTGGGTTTGAATCCGGCTGAAAAATTTGTCACCCAAGTACGTTGATTGGCTTGTGCTATTGCGATTCTTAAATTAATTTGTTAGGAGGCTTCAATTAGCTTTGTGGAAAGGGAGGTGGTGAATTTTTGAATACTTGCTTTATTGTAAAAAGGAATATTGCCTTTAATATAGTTCAATTAAAACTTGTAATAAAGAGCAACCAATTTTGCTTTGCTCTTATCAAAAATCGAACCCACATAAATCATCCTTCCGCACAGAGGTGAAGCTTACATAAACCTGCAAAGCGCCTCTGTAAACACATTAATCAACAATTTTTATAACTAAGTCAACTTCACCAAGTCGAAAGTGATCCCAAACTCGTAAAATATTTAAATATTCTTTAAAAATTCACCCTTACCCAACCCTTCAGCGCTACCAGTAATAAGTCTCCGAGATTCAGGAAATTGCTACAACCAGATAAAGGAGTGAGTCGGGTAAAAATCAAGCCGAGACTGGTTTGTTCCGGTGGAAACCGGCCCGAACTGGTTCGATTTATTCAAGACGTTGCAATGGAAATGTGGAAACGCTGGTTTGTCTTTCTCGTAGAGAAACATTAAGAAAATAATGTATTTCAGTTATGTGTTTTCTATGGAGATTAGCCTTAGTTCTGGCTTTGTTTATCTGTCTATGAAATTCTATTAGGATAGCAGACTACTTATACTTTCCATACTTTATAAGTACTATAAAAATATTGTTACTATTCGTACAAATCCTAAGTGGAATGTTGGAAAAGTAATGAACAACAAATAAACCAACGGAGCTATGATCTTAGTACACTTCGCTTGTTCCTTCCACTTCCATGGCTGGGCTTGTTTTAGTTGATATTGTAGTGAACAACATGAATAAATTACATTTATTTGTTTTGTTTAGTAAAGCTTCTTGCAGGGCTTTAGTCACTGGTTTTTATGTGGCCGTATTGAAACATTTGTCTGTTTTACTGTTGTAAATCTTGCTGCTAGTTTGTTGATAGAAAACTTTAGTGGTTTCACGCGTCTGTCTAGTTTTTTCTTTTAATATTTCTCTGGTTTAAACAAGCCAAGGATTGAAAATAAAGACAATCTTCATTTCACTGTACACTAAGAATAAGTGTATTTTCCCAAAATGGCAATGTTTTGCAACAGAAACACTACTTAAGCCAATTAAAGTTGGAGAAAACTCCAAGATAGAATGTAAGGCAATTTAAAAGTGACTCAAAACAAATCCTTTAGAGAAGAAATACATAACGCTTATATAACAAAGGGGCAAGCAGGGTAATTGCCACTGGAACGTCGCCAAGACATACGGACAGAGGGAAGACTGTCTTATTAAACAATTTATTGTAGGCTTTCATACTAACGTAATGGGTAGTTACTGGCTGGGTATGCTATAATTAGTCTTAGAAATGAAACTCTGCCAATGTTCTCCTTTTTATTTTCAGTCATGTGCGAGTTAGGGTTGAAATGTCTCAATGAGAGCTACTGTTTTTGTGCTTGTCAAATGACACCAATGTAGCGAAAGATTATGTCTAAATCACTGTATTTTATTAGTCTGTTTATTTTTTTAGTCATGGCGCTCCCAATGGCCTCCCTACTCTCCTTCCTCTCGTCTCTTCACTGTAGCTGGCAAAAATAGAATGTCCAATGACTGCACTGCAAATAGTTCTTCTGTTAGACTAGATACGTCTCGTCACACTAGCGATCTTGGCAAGTAGCTTATTGAATAAGAGACCTCTCCTTACGATCCAGTCAGCAGATTCATTTGTGACCCCTATTAATGGGAGTTGTAGCATTTCAACCTCTAGATGATGGTACAAAATAGCGCTATAAAACTAAGGAGCGAAATTTTCGTACTAAAGATTATATCCATTAGATTTGATCAAACCTTTAATACTTTTATTCTTATGATATTATAAAGATTGAGCTTTCAAGTTAAAGACGATTTCAGACCAAACAGTTGTTATAACTTTACACATAAATGTGTATAAAAAGTTTTATGTATTTTAGGGTCATCAAAGTTTATTCTTGTTTCGTAAAGAATAGAAAGGAGAGGCTCTAGGTTCATGTAGCCTTTTTGGAGATGTGCAGACAATCCGTCTATATTTATTCGTTCTCCCATTATCCCACAAGATCCCCACAATAAGAAATTAATCTCCCGTGAGGGATTACTCTCTCGAATTTATTTTCTTATAAAGTGAGATTACGGACTAATGAAGTGGAACGGGGTGGATGCGGTATTTATTAAAATTAATCCAAGGATTTAGGTCTCGTTACACATCGAGCGGAGTTTACTTGAGTAACGTAATGATGGATACTTTTATTGGTAGCGTCGGCGTAGAATTGTTCAGTTTGTGAATATTTTCATTCATAAAAATCTAGTTGATGTCCTTAGAGTAGTTATTTGTTCCTTACTGGACTTATACGCTAAAAGCCCGCAAATGAAGTCATACCTTTTGTAGTAATAAGCGAGACTCTTCTTCGTAATCCTTGGAATACGTCGTTAATAGAGATAAATACTAGTATTACACTCAATTAGTCAATCTGGTAATGGACTAGTCGTTAGCCGTTGAGTAGATCGTATAGATTTCGGAATGCCTCCTCCACAAATTACAGAGCACAGTTGTTTCCAACATCATGTTATTCCGTTCTCCTTAATTTCAACGATTTCTTACTAATTGCTGATTTCCTAATTAATCACAAGAGAGTTATTTGATTAATAGGCCTCCGATGCCAGCGCTACAAGGGGGCGAGCAGAAGTGTAGGGGGGGGCGAGCCCGTGATTTAGCGATTTTACTCAAAAGACGCCACTCTAGTTTAGATTTTCAGCGACTAATTAATAAGTACGAAAGTGTCAAGTTTGAACGTTAAGAACTTGCTTTATTTTTTATTAAAATATATTTTTAAACAAGCTTTCGCAGCGGCCCCAAGGCTACTCTGTACTGTTTTTAGACTTGCAAAAAGTAGGTTTAATAAAGTTATCCCTAGCCATATTACCCTAACCTACATTTTAAACAACCTTCATATTTCTTGCAAACGTTTTAAAATATTCAGCGCCTGTGCGTTCCCATTGACACATCTCTACACGTTACGAGGAACTCCAAATAATTACTTTGGAAATGTACCGAACGAAAATGAATTTCGCTCACCTCTTCGCTTTTGAATAACCCCGTCCTGAACTCCAATTATGTTAAAAGCTAATTACGTTTAAGTACTCCGTAATTATTGAACCGAAATCGGAGTATCTTGACTAAAGAAGGCTAACATTAGCGAGCCGGGACGAGACAAAACGAGTGAAGTGAACTTTCCAATGAGATCCGGGATCACGAGATACTCGATAGACAGGACCATTCGAGATCAACTGGACAAACTATCAAAGTGAGTGCGACATAACATCTTGTACAAAGATCACGAGTGATATCCAAATGGAAATGGAAAAAGCGAGCTGATACTGGGACGTACGGGGAGTGGAAACTGCAAAGGAGTCTAAAAGGCTTAAGGCCACAGGCCAACGCCGGGACATGGCCTGGCCGCCCCCGCAGTGGCCTTGCGGGGGCGAAGAAGCATGGCCTTACAGACGTGTGGGAGAAGTTCGTTACCAAAGGTGTTTGTTGGGGATGTGGAGGTGACTGGGGCTATACCGGGGGGCTGAAGGTGGACATTGACAGTTCGGAGTATACGGGTTATAGGTACTGCTACAGTAGGCCGGGGTACCGGCAGAGGGCGCGGTCATGCGAGGATGCCCGGTTCATACATATCAACTTCGTGCTGCTTGCCGAGGTGAAACATTTCGAAAAGGTGAGTTTCATCATTGTCATTCACACCTGGGTGTTTAATCTTGAAACCAATCTCAATGTCAATGCAATTTCAATCCAATAAAATCTCAATAATTATTCAATATCAACACTATACAACCACAATCGTAGCTATTAAAATAGCATTCAGAGAACGGAATATAAAGCCAAACTCAATACCATTTAGTTCATTCAATATCCACGCAATACGAATGAAATAGGCGCTAGTGTTGCAACTCAAGAATACGAAATTTCACAATACCAATGTCGATCGATCGGAATTGGATTCAGGAGTAAGTCCCCTGATCTATTACACGTTTTCTCTACCTAGCTATTTATACATTAACCAGGTTAAATTGGATTACGAGTAACCAATTCCCACCAATGCTGTGATCAAGTTTAGTGTGCTATGGCAAACCATAATTAAACCTCAATTAGTCATTTACCCCACGATACAAGGTAAACACATCATCAAAATTACAATAACACAATCAAACATTAATTTCATCTCTTAAATATTCACTTGCAGCCTACCCTAATTGCGCTCCCTCATCCTGAATTCAACCTTAGGACTTAGGATGTAAGGTTGGAATTGGGTAAGGGTGGGGTTGTAGGTAATTAGATGTAAACCAGGTTGAAAGTGACACAGTTAGGGTGTGAGCAGAATTGGATGTATTAATTTACTTTGTCGCTAAGAGGTTAGGCGCTATATTAAACATTAAAAGAGGGGAATGTTGCGCTTTTTAATCATTGTGATATGTTATGCTTATTTATCTGTATTAAAAATATATCTTCTTGGTCTAATAAGACTTTAAGCACTAGAATTAAGCATCCTTTCCTTCTTATCAATGTTATATTAGAGTCTAATCTATGACCTTCTCACTCATGAACTTCGCAACAGAAGTAAACAAAACCAAAAATCGGTCTCAATAAACATGTTTTATTTAATTTTAAGTTGTACTGTCAGACGGAGGCCCAATAACACACCCCCCCCCCCCCCCCC